CTAATTTTCAAAAAAAAAAAAAAAAAAAAAAAAAAAAAAAAAAAAAAAAANATTTAAAAAAAAAAAAAAAAAAAAAAAAAAAAAAAATTGGAACTTACTCACGTTAAGTTAACAGTTAAAAATGACTCTTTCAGTCATACCAATTTCACCTTCGCATTTTAGAGAGAAGTATATCGGTTTAAATGGTATTTTTTATTATAATTTAGCAAATATAACAATTAATTATTCTAGAATCAATTATAAAATGTTACTTTTTTAATTCATCGTACTTCCGATAAATTTACATCAGATAAAAAAATGTCGCTGTTTCTCAAATAACAATAATAGCAAGGAATAAGCTTGGACATTTTAGCTGCTTTCAATCAAAATTTCATTCCTGCAGATTCAAAAAATAAATCAGAGTAAAATAAAACAATTAAGTATTAAAGAAAAAATAAATAACGATAAGATCTGTAAGCATTCAAATGAGAATGTACGTTAAAAAATTAAAACCGTGTACACTTTCCTTGCGCATTTAATCAAAAATTCTGAAAAAGTTTTGCTTGCCTATCCTATTTACTTTAAATACTTTTAAGCCTGGTTGAAGAAGTTTTTTCTATTATAAAGTTTTGAATATTTTGATTTTTTTTAAAAATAATATTTAGTTAATGATTAATTTTTATCATCATATGATCAGCATACGCCGTTATTTTGTAAATAAAAAGTTTGCAAAATATCTGAAAGCAAGAAGCAATCCACATTATTATCCATTTGCACTGCTAGTCCACATCTTTGAGCCAAAATGACTACCTAAATCATAATATTACCTCCAACATACTTCGCAGTAGCAATTTGATATCTAAGATAATCTCTCGTTCCTTTCAGATGTCGAACATATTTCCTGTCATCAGTCTCGAACTGAGTTTAATTAGGATTTATCAGAATTTTTTTTTCAAGTCAAATGGTGTTCAAATTTTAAATTGGTTATCTTTTTTTTATTACTAATTAATGGCTTCTTAACCGTTCTTTGTTCAGACCATTCAAATGATTCGTAACGGTACTGTAACTAAAGTTGCTTTCATCATGTAATTCCCGTGCAGTTTTTGCTGCAGTTAACTCCACGTCAAATTCCCATTTTTTATAAATTTGTCTCCTTCCATTATTTACTAATTTTAGGCTTATATTTTAAACTAATATGTTCAGCTCAATAGTTAAGGATGCTTTCACGCAACAGTCCATTGAGGTCAGAAAAAGCTCTACAATTTTGTGACCAGTAGCATTATGGTAGCAATGTCGTCAGTATAACTCACTGTCTGCCTTTAATTCTGCTGTTCCCCCCCCTTTTATTCTGTGCTTGGACACTGAAGTAGTTCTTCAAAACAAAACCAAAATTATGGTATGTTTGCGCTATTGCCCGCACTTCGCACGTTAAATATTTTTTGTGGACTCAATTTTATAAGGTTGAAAATATGGTTTCGTAAATAATATGATTTGAGTACGATGGTTATTACAGACGTTGAAAATTTCAATATTTATCATCGCAACTTTCTTGATAGTCAACAAAAAAAAGTATTTTAATATATTCTTTAGCACACTATAAGCTTCCATAGAATGTGAAAAAGAAAGATTTGGTTTTGAAAAAGTTCAAGGGGATGTTCGCTTAAGAATAGGAAAAAATACTAGGAGTTTTACCATTTATCTTATATAAACTTGAATATTTCTATAGCCGCAATGCAAATAAAAAGAAAGATTTTATATTTCATGCTGAAAGATAGATATCATACATAGATTTAATTTATTTTCTTGCGAGTAGAAACTTGACAAAGTCAACCTATTTGATGACTTTTTTTCCTTAAAAAATAAAATGTAACAAGATTAAAAAGTTGTATTTCTATTTCGCCTTTACTGTATTTCTATAGCTACAAAACTATGTTTTTTCATTTTACATTTAACCCATATATATCAGCATTAGAATGTTATTTTATCAAGATTAAACGTATATAAAGCGAATAAAAAAAATTTGTTACATTACATCGTTTGAAAAATAAGTTGCGATATTTCGATGAAATCCTATCTTATTTCACAAATGATATATTTTATTTGAAAAAAAAAATACATCACGATTTACTTGAGCACAATCAGGAGTGTCTTCTACCACTAGCTTTGATCAAAACTATACCTCTATGAAAAAAACTGCAATGTCCAGTTTGAAGCAAGAATAATCTCCATATTACTACAGAACTTTCAAGTTTATAAAGATAGAAATACATAGATTATTTTTATCTTGTATTTTTTTTGTTTATTTATTTATCCTTATAGACAATGCACTAAAAATGATTTTGAATGAATGAAAATGATTCTACGCAATACCATTTTGATTGCTGGTGGAGACAGAAAGTAGCTGAAAGAGACACTTAGTTGAAATTCTCTTCCTCGTTAAAGGAAAAAAAACATTTGAAATTTTTTTTTATTTCTAATTGTAAAAATATTTGGACCCACCCCTAGTTAATTCTAAAATGCATATTTTTTTCGAAATTTATATTCTTCAAGTGCTTTTATAGTGAAAATTTTCATATCCGCTCTGATGTGCTTAGGTACAATTACAATTATTAGATGTACAATTTATTTTTGAGAATATGACAGAAAATGGACAAAATAACACTAGGTAATACTTCGATGGTTTCAGAGTTTTAAACAATAAAATTTTCTTAATTTGTAATATAGATATTTCGTATTGAATCCATTCAACAAACATTGAGCACAAAAGTTTTATTTTTAAATTTGTTTACATGAACTAAATGCTTATATGGCGAAATTCAAAAAAGGAAAAATTATTTTTATTCAAACTCAAACAAGTAATGAAATTCTGTATATTTTTACTATTTACTATATTTTAATTAAATGAAGCAGAACTTTTAAATTTTAAAACTTAAATGTCAAAAAATTAAGTAACGATATTAGTTTATGTAAATATTAACACCGAGCCTCTTAATTGAAATAATTCTAAGAAAAAATCATACTTGATTTCGGTTTTGTCAAAAATGAGTAAATAAAGACGCATAATTTATTATTTCTTGAGATTCTTAAAAAATTGAGACAAAATTTTCTATTTTAATCATTCCAAAACTAGCTCAAAATGTAATTTTTTTTCTCCTCTTTTTTTATCCTCAGTTATACGTGGTACCTAAACTGCAATTAGTTTTTTTTCTTCAGAAATTAGTTTTTTTTTTGCAATTAGTTTTTTCCTTACATTGAAAAATCCAAAAAACGTCAAATTAAGCAATATAAAAACTCTGAAATGAATTCTAAATTTAAACAAACTGAGGCGAATTACTCCTTTCTGAAATTATTATACTGCTTTGCTTTTTTTTAAGCTTATATCTATTATACTTTATTGTATTATACTGCTTGATCTTTAGAAAATCGATACAAAATAGCATTAAAATGCTATAACGACATGCTTAATGACGATCATAAATTCTGTAAACATTTAGACTAATATTATTAGTTTTTAATAATATTTAAACCTATCAAATAAACATTTTTTTCTGTACTAAGACTAAACGAAAAGAAGATCTCGATAATTTTAAAGATTATAGTTATTGTTTATAATATTAAGTAAATTAGAAATAGAAGAAGCTGAAAATTTTAAATTTTCCAGGCCCCGTAACTTTGGTATTCACCATTCATAAAAAATATCAATTCTAAAAGTTTTTAAATTGCGTGATATTGCATTAAGTGAGTTTTACAAAACTTCTTTAATTATGAAAGACTCAAATAATTCTTCTATTTCAAAATACCATAGGTAACACAATGTTAAATTATGAATACATGCAGGAATTATTGCTTTTAACATTTATTAATTACTAGCTGTACCCATTCACACGTTGCTGCGTTTGAACAAAAAGGTAGTTTCGATACCTCAAACATAATTTATTAATGATAAAATGTATGCAATGCATCAAAATGAAAATTAACAATAAACATATCTCTACATATATGTCATTGGAATATAACATATGTAAAAACAAACATGCATAGTTGATGGTAGAATAAACAAGCTTCTTCACTAGTGATATTAAACAATATTGCAAACAAATTTCAATAGAACAATAATTTCGTAATTATTAAATATCAACATGAAATGAATGATATTTGATGATTGATGGTAAACTTTATACTTATAGTGCTTGTAAATATACAAAATTTTATGTTTTCCTATCTGGTGCAAGAACAAATAAATTTTATGGTTTTCCAACTCGTGAACATCCAACGTACAGCTGTCCATGTGAGAAGCATGGATTTATCAAATTTAATCCACATACTTGCAATGATTGCCCCTATGCTTTGTTAATGGTCATTGCAAAGGCTAGTCGTACAGGAAACTGTAGACATTTGAATTCAAATGGAGTATCCGTTGGTATCATGGGAATGCGTGGTATAGTTCATGTTCCCCTTGGTGTTTTCCTTTAAAATGGTTGCCTTAATTATGTTATTCATCAATTTTTTTACTGATAGCCTAGTCCTATTGCATAGTCGCGGTGGATTTATATTTCGTAGAAGGATGATTGGGGAACCAATTTTCAAAGATGAAATATGTGGTGGCATTCCTGGTAGATCCAATGAATTTAAAAATTCTATTGGATAATTAACTGATTCATCTTGATTGACAACAGTATCTATGGATTTATATGTTGTTTCTTCATCAGGTATTTCATTTTGAATTTTGCAGTTTATTAAACTCACATCAATGTGTTTGGCTGCCAATATAGCACGCTCACTAACCCATTGATTATTTTTAAAATTCTGCTATAAATTTGGAAAAATTTGGCAATCAATTCATCAGTGGATTCTACAATGTGACAGAAGTTTTCTGGTAATGTAATACAGTGTGTGGATTCGTCCATTTCCATTTTACAATTCCCAATATTTAACAAGTGGTTTGCAAATCGTTCAAAAGATTCATCTTGTTGTAATTGAACACGCATATTGATTTTTAAAGATATTTTCTCCACATACTGCTATAACAATGATGATTTGAGACATGCATTCAATTCATCTGCAGGTATTGAACGTGTTATAACTGGTAGAGTTTGTCTAAAATCCTCAGCTAGCAAAATGTGTGTACCACCAAAGAGCTGCTCATTTCCTCTCAAATCTTTTAATGCGCGATTGAGTGCTTCCAAAGATTTCTTGTGTGCTATGGTGCACTCATCCCATATTATAAGCTGACATGATCTTAGTACTTTTCCCATCCCAGAATCTTTGCTAATATTACACGCTGGAGTTTCAATTACCTGCATATTTAATGGCAATTTCAATGCTGAATGTGCTGTTATACCGCCGTCCAAAAGAGTTGCTGCAATACCAGATGATGCAATAGCAAGGGCAATATTATTAGTTGCCAGAATAATTGAAATAAGAAAAGTTTTGCCAGGACCTCCAGGTGCATCTAAGAAATATAAACCACAACTCTTGTTAGATATTGCATTTCTAATTGTGTCACATGCTGCTCGTTGTTCTAATACCAATTTCGGCAGATTAATTCGAACAAATGTTTGTAATTCATTAACATCGAAGCTCGTTTCTCGTTGTATATCAATATCGAAAATGTCATTACCAGATCTATTTGGAGCAATCATTCCCAATTCCGTCAGTGATTTGTTGGCTATTGTCAAACATACATTCTCAATTAAAATTAATGCTTCATTGTATATAATTGATGTAAATTGAATGTTAGGATTGGCATTTATTCTACTCATGCGATGTAGAATGTCTTCACGTATATAGTTTTTATATTTTTCCCAGAGATCCTTTGGATTAGTCGGAAAACATGTAGTTAGTATAATAGAAAATAGAGTACGTATCTGCTGTGGTTGAGCTGTATTAGAAGTATCAGCGAGTGAAATATCCCAATGAGCATCGTTTTCTAAGAGACTTAAATTCTGGCAAGTCTCACGAAATGTAGCACATACATGGCCATTGACTGTTTTTAATTCTTGGAAAGATGCTGATCCACGAACATTGATTAATAATAATCTTAGGTAAAAGCATTCTGCGTTATTTGGATGAACAGTGTACAGACGACCCAATACATATGTGGAATATAAATTTAGGTGTCCTTGTACTGCTCTACCTTGTTTACGACGCTGAAATTTTCTTGTTGATGTATTCCACGTAAAATAAGTTGGTACTTCAGAGTGCAGTAGTGTCCATGCAAAGGCATCATTTCTACGTAATGTGAAAAATTCAGTTAATGTTGCTGGCGGTGGTGACATTGCTCTTGCACGTACATTTTCTGATGTACACACGCTGTCCATTTTCAAGATGTACGGCTAAATGAACAACCGTTGGATATCGCTCATGAATGGAAAATGATAAAATACGCCATACAGCCTCATTGCTACTTATGTAGCGTCCCAGTTGATATTAGGTGACTTCATCGATAGAGGCAGTTGCATTTTCCACTGCATACACTGCCATAACGCTTCCTTTGTTCGCATATTTACCAATTTATTTTATAGCTTTTACTGTATTGCAGTACTCAACATTTATGTCTGCGATATACGTTTTTAGTAGTAATGGAGAATATTGTACTTCATCAATAGTATTGTTGCGTACTTTTTGTTTAATGGATTTTCCACCATCTTCGGTAGATCGTCGTCGATAGAGTATACATCCATTGTTGCCTGTAATAGTTTTAACAAGTAAGTCTCTAGGATACAGCTTCGTGCACTTTCCATCTCACATGCATGGTGAATTATTATTTAGCGAGCCACATGGACCATGAATCATATTTCATGAGAAAATATCGTGCAAGTCTTTATCAATTTCAATGTCTGGTATTTCTGCAGAGATGATTTCATCAATTCTGTTTGGTGTTATCTTTTCCGTCAGCCATATAAAATATGCGCATGTGGTAAACCTCTTTTTTGCCAATCCATGGTATACATCCAACAGTGCGTCTCTCCAAATACATGGTGTTTGACAATAAAACCTATTAAAGATTTTAATTTTTTCTTAAATACACGTGCAGAAATATCATGACGATCTGATGGTGATTGTCCAGTTAATAAAAGTTCCTTTATTTCATCCCATGCTGGGTTGCATGTAAATGTGATGAAAAAATCTGAGCGACCATATGCATGAACATACGTCATTGCATCTTGTGCATATTCATGCATGTGTCTTGGGCTGCCTGTATATGTGGATGGTAAAATGACCATTTTTCTTAATTCACTAAGATTGCCATCATTTACAACTGCATCACGTAAATGGATGTAGAATTTGACTTGATTTCGGCAGAGAATTTGACTTGATAGAAGGCAATTTGACTTGATTTAGATGTATGTAGAGGATTCTTTCACTTTCTATTTTTGCATACATGTCAACAATGTATTGATGAAATAATTGTCTACATTTCAATATATGATTATCAGCATTCTCACGAATCATCGTTCGATATGCATAATAATGCATAGCACTGATCTTTTTGTTAATTTCCACATTAGTTGTAGGATTTTTCATATTAATATTAAAATGATATGCATCCTCTCCTTGCCAAAATAGAAAGGGATATTGTAATGCATCATATGAATGATGCGTTTCTGCTGCTTTCTGGACGTCACCATTTCTACGATGAAGAATTATGTCACGAGAATTAAATTCTTCACCAACTATGACAAACTCCACTTCATCGATCGTTGGTGCGTTGAATTGTCTTCGATGTTGACCAATAGGTGTTTTATCTGCCTTTATTTTTACTTTGTAATCATCAGATGGCTTTTATTCAATGGCGGTTTTAAATAATTTAATTAATTCATTACATTGTTCAAACAAATTTCGTAATTTAGCGACAATCTCTCGTTTAGTACTCATGTTCAGCTGACTCCGTCTGTTGATTTGTTCCTCAGTATTTCCCATAAAATATATCTGAAGATATTTGCGATCAGCATTTGGCAAGGGTAGTACTGATCCAGCATGGTGATAAATTTGCCCTTGTCCTTTAAATGTTGGTATATAATTTGCGCTAACGATACTCGTTGCGCCGAACGATGCAATTTGGAAGCATGAATTGTACTTGCGTATATTTTTCAAAAATTTTTTTGATTGACTTGTTTTACCAGATACTAATGTTAATAAAGGTTCAGGTGGTGAACGCAAGTCTGGTAACTTTACTTTTCCACCTGCACAGCACATACCTGGTGTTTAATTTTTAAATTTTTGAGCACCACAATAGGAACACTTTTTATCCATTTTTCCAATAATTACACTTGGAAGAAGACTATAAATGTAAAGGGGATTGTAATTGAAACCACATAAATTCAAATCAGTATGTATCGTTCGTCTTGTCTGTGTCCCACGAATTCGATTCCTTTGCTGCCTTGCTTGCCTCTGTTCACTCGTTTCTAATGATCGAGCAAGAGCAGTGTGAACTCGATCTCTTTCTTGCCTAGCTTGTCTCAGCTCAATTGTTTCTGAAGCTCGAGCAAGAGTAGTGTGATCTCGATCTCTTTCTTGCCTAGTTTTTCTCTTGCTCACTTGTTTCTGAAGTTCGTTCTTCTCTCCTCCTTTTTTCTTGATTTGTGGATCGATCAATGGTACTTCGCTTTGGTGGCATAATTGAGGGGTTAAATAAAACGTATTTCCAAAAAATATTAATAATTTTCACGTAATAATTATTTATTTTCGAATTAAAAATTGCAAAAGTTTTTTGATATCTTAAAAAACAACCTACAAACGTATTACATCCCATGAAAAATAATCGAAGTTGCCATCTTCAGTCATTGTAAAGTAGGATTAATACAGAATATGATATCACGCGAATAATACAAATTATAATAATAATACAAACAATCTAGCAAATATTACATTACGTCATACTGCTAAGCTGAATTTCAAACATCATTACTAATTACACGTTATTTTGATATTTTTTGAACGAAATTTGCTTTTGCCTTGATATTTATTAAACAATTTTCCTAATACTAAATCCGTGATACGACAAATAGTTAAGAAATCTATTCTCTTTGATTTTACTTGCTTGTGGTCACCTGACATAAAGAAATTTGAGCGAATTATAATTAAATATTAAAGTATATGTAATTTACCTTAATTTACTTTTCTAAATGAATCGAGCTATAAGATAGAAAATATTACTGTTGTTATCTTCAAGATATTTGAAAACTGAATCGTTTATAGTAAAATTTAAAACAATGGCTAAATTTTAACCAATCAGAAAATTCCATTTCGATTTTCCCTCATACCGCTAGAACGGCTTTTCGCAGAATGTTCTAATGTTGACAGTAACCTTCCTCATGCTTTGAACTATCTGTATGCTAAGTTTCATAGCATTTGGTCGGTTGGTTTCGAAGTCTATAAAGAACAGACAGACACACATTCATTTTTACATATATACTAGCTGACCCGACAAACGTTGTTTTGCCATATGAATTATTTCTAGAGTATGAAAATATATCTTATTAATTGTAAGTGTGTGCGTATGTGGTCTATGAGTGGAAGAGGCATGGAGCGCTGTGAACGATGACGGAATGTAAAAATAACAACACACCAAATAATAGTTTTATTAATTTATTGTAACTTTTTTCTTATAAATTATATATACAACGAATTCCGAAAATATTAGTCAACAATATTAATCTCTTAGAGCAATGGAGTGTACAATAATTTTTGTCATTCCATCTTCAGCTAACACATATAAACTGGATGGTCCACTCGAGATCATGCCACGTATAATTGTCCGTATGAAAAACATGTTGTGCTCAAATCTAAGACACAAACAGACATTGTTTGGTCTTGTCATTGTAATTGGGGAACTGAATGCGTTTAAATTGAACTGACACATCTGTGGGTGGAATAGGCATTCGTGGAAGTAATATACTTTCACCCTGGAATTTGTCATTTAAAATAATAACTTCCATAACGTTGTTCATTAATTTTTTAATTTCTAATCGCACTCCGTTGCTCAGCCGTGGTGGGTTCAAATTACGAAAAAAAAAATAACAGGAGATCCAACTTTGAGTACTAAATGTATGCCTGGTAAACCCAATGGCCTTAAAAACTCTGTTGGAGCTTCAATGGAATCGCAAACTGCATCAACGGATTTATGTGTCACCAAGTTACCTGGCAATAACTGTTGNCACGAGCCTGCAGGATGCATGAAGAAAAAAAACAAGCTATTAAGATTTACGTCTTATACTTAGTAGAAGTTGGTCATTGCAATTTCACAAGGAGTTCTGTAACTAGCCCTGTACAGTCCACAAAAAAAAAAAAAACGAATCACCCTGAATAACTTTTGTTCTAATGATTGGATTTTCACGAACTAAGTGTCAATCTTAATGGTTCCTGGGGGTGACCTCAAATATGCTAATTAATTAATGCTAACTATTAATTAAGTTACGAAATCAGACACAAAAACGTACTTTCTCTGAATAAACATAGATTTTTTACATATTTGGATTCCTAACCTTCAAAATATAAGGGGTAGCCGCAATCTGGGAAATATGGTCTCCATAGTTTGATCAGTAGAGCGATCCAAAGTTCGTACCCCTTAATGTTAATTTCACTTTTTACATTTTTAGTCATATTTTTAAAACCATTAAAGCAATTCATAGAAAATTTCACCCACTCATAAAACTCATTTACCCAAAGATAATTTCATGAAAAAATAATTTTTAATAATTATTAATTATTTTTTATAATTTAATTAAATTGAGGATGAAAATATTTTGAATTATAAGGTATGAATTTTTTCATACCATATTAATCTGCATATTTTTCAATTGAAAAATCTAAAGTTTTAACTGCTTTTATTCATTAGAAGCTAAGAAAGATTAAAATTAATTATTTTTGAAAAAATAATTTGGCGACAATAAAGAAATAATTAAATAGGGCGATTAATATTAAAATGTGATATATTTGTGAGGAACTTGACTTCGTGCGCGTAGCGTAAAATTTCATTCATATTTTTTTCGCTAATAATCGTTTGCTTATCTTTTTATTTTCATTTCTTTCAAACTATAAAATGGGATGTTTCTTTTCTATTCGTGTAATAATTTATTTTTCAATTTAGTAAAGAAATTTAAATAAAAAACACTTCATTCAATGAATGTCTAGTTTTACAAAAGCGTGATTCTGATAGAATATGATTATACACCAGATTGTGATAATTTAATGTGATTATTTTTTTATTTTTTGATTTTGTTTTCAATAACTGATGCAATTTCAATAATATACATACGTATGCATAGATTTGGAATAATATATTTATCAATTTCTTGAATATATATTTCATAATATT